CTGAGTAGCAATGAGGAAGAAAATATTGATCATGACCCAGGAAGCTGTGTCAAGTGTCTCTTGAGAGCATCAAACACACTTGGTTTTTGTATGGGGTCAATAGATCAGAAAATTCTTCCAGCTTCTAGATATTTCTGTTGCATAGAATCTTCCATTTTATAGTCTGAAATAGATGATGCCACTTTAGATCATTGGCAGATTCAGATCCAGCCCGTGCCAGGCGCAGTCGCTTTTTTTTTTTGCTGCTGGGAATTGAACTCAGGGGCCACTGAGCCACATCCCCAGTCCTATTTTGTATTTTATTTAGAGACAGGATCTCACTGAGTTGCTCAGTGCCTTGCTTTTACTGAGGATCAACTCACGATCCTCCTGCCTTGGCCTCCTGAGCTGCTGGGATTACAGGTGTGCGCCACCACGCTCTGCTGAGTCACTATTGACCCCTTTGTGTATGATTGTGTCTTCTTTTCCATGTTGGTGCACATTTGCTTCCATCAGCTGCCCCGCCTCCCTGCTCTTGGAGGACTGTCCCAGCCACTAGAGGCCCTCTGCCTAGACACAGAGCTGTCTGTCCAGTGCCTGGGAGCTTATGATCCTAGCCTCCTTAGCCAATGATTGACAGGCCTGGCGTATGAAGGGTCAGCCACCTGCCTGGGGCTGGGACACACTCAGGCATACTTTATACTCCAGAATTTCCCTGTGGACCAGGTGGACGCAACTCTCCATGGGCCCTAACCCTGAAATTGCACCTATGCTACGCTTCTTTTTCTTCCTGTTCTGCCTTCTCCACTTCCTTACCTGTTTCTCCTGGGAATCTGTCTGTCTTCCTTTTTTGTAGTTGTTGTCCTGAGGATAGAACGAAAGCCTTGTGCATGCTAAGACTGGGAGCACTTCTTAATAAATCCCTTGTCCGTGAATCCTCATTTCAGGCCTGTTTCTGGGGAACCTGACCCCAGACAATGATGCCACATTGAATTCTCACAGCAACCCTGTGGCAATTGAATTAAAATAGTACTTTCATTAGTCTCATTTACAGATAAAGAAATGAGATGCCTAGTTAGTTCTCGAGTGATTTCCATAGGATCATTCAACTAGTAAGGTACGGAGTTGTGGATTTCAGAACCTCTGACTTCACATCCTGGACCTGGTTATTTACAATTCTCTACTGTAGAATTCCCTTCCATCTCATATGAAGGCTGGTAGTTTAGGCCAGTGACTATGCAGAAAATATCTACTCTATCACATATTATGGACAAAAAAGTAAGCAAAATAGTATTGAATTAATTTATAAATATATAATTATAAACCATGATGAAAGCTATAAAGCTATCCAGGTTTAGATTGGGTAATGTGTATGTGGGTGTGGGGTGTATCCACCCCCTTTTAGGGAAAAGATAGGTTTGCATGAGAAAACAAACAAACAACTCACTCCTGTTTGCCTGAAATGCAATGGCATGCAGCTGAATGAAATTAAGCTTAATTTTGTATTTTCTGTTGAGGTAGGGTTAATTTTGTAAGCTTCCTGTGATCTGAAGCTGTGTTTTTTGTAGCTTGCTTTCACTATCTGTCAACAACATGTAAGAAGTCTATCCACACACAACTCACCGCCTCCCTTGCACAAGCCCCAAGACCTTGGCAAGCCTCCTTGATGCCAATCAGCAGCCCCTAGTAATGTAAAAAGTGGTGGCAGCTTTGGCTTCCCCATCGAAGAGTTCCTCATTAAAATCTGTGCTTGGCAGAACAGTTGGTCCCAGATTACATATTCTGGCTTGTGGTGGGGCAATTGAAGGACAGAGACAATAAATGCTCACAGCTTGTTAATGACACCCTCAGAAGATGGGGTTACCTTCTAGATATTTTTCTAGAGAAATTTGGGCCACTGATCATACACACAGACACTTATTCACTCATTTCTAAGCTTTCATATTCTTTCTCTATAATGTAAGAGAGATTAATAAGCACAACTTTTCAAAGTTATGTTTTTATTTCTCCAATTGGTAATCATAAAAGAAAGAGGGGCTGAAACCTGAGCTGTCATTCAATAGACCCAGTTTAAGTGACAGGGAAGAATCTAAGAGGCATAAGAAGCTTCTCTGACCTTAAGAGAATCCCTGTGATTTAATTATTATCAGGGATAACAACAATACTTATGACAATTGTTAGATTCATCTCTGAGCTGCTATTTTACAGTTGATGAAAAATTTTCAACTTTTAAATCTCATTTTTTTCACAATCCCTTCCTTGGAGTGGAAACTCAGAAGTTTTTTTTTTCCCCACTGATTCACCGTTAATAAAGAGAAAGCTGGTTCTGTTACTGCTGATCCAACCCCAGTTTCTAGGGTTGTCACCTGTGAATGACTCAGACCCCAAATTACATTTAAAAAAATCAATCTATGTATTTTCAGAAGTTGTGAAGTTGGAATCAGAAAAGGCTAAAACAGCATCTATGGGTACTAATTCCCCCAAGGTCTACTTTAATGAACTTCTGGTATAGCAACAGGGATAACAAGGATAATCATATTTCTAGCTACAGAAATGTCCACAAATACCCAGAACTTCAAAAGTCAGGGTTGGAAGTTTTTTGCTTAATAGACACTAGATAGTGCATGATGATTTTTTTAAAAAATTGTTATAGCCTAACTAAATTCTCACAATACAAATGATAATGATAATGGTTTACACTTATTGAGTTCCTACCACATGCTGGGAACTTTGCTAAGCACGAGGGAGTCAAAGAGGTATAGGATGGGGTCCAAGCCTTCAAGCAGTTTGTATTCAAGTTGGGAAGCTCCACTTTGGCTAACTGGTTGATGATTGCTATGGAGAAGAAGTTTAGTGGATAGAGATATTGCCATGGTCTGGCACAATCAGAGGTAGCAAACAGAGGAAATAGAGCAATGTAAAGACCTTAAATGAGATAAATAAAGGGGCATGGGAAGAATGCTCCAGGCAGGGGTAGTGAAAAGAACTAGTATGTAGAGCTGGAAATGTATGAGTTATATTTAAAAGACAATGAAGAGAATAATACAACTGGAGTGAAATATAAGAACAGAGGTAGAAACATAATCCTTGAAATCCAGGTGCCAAACAGGATACTGGTGGTGGCTACAATACATTGGATGGTAATTAAATATGGCAAATATAACAGCAATAGTGGTTGATGCCATCATTAATGTCTAATATTTACCTGTTCCTGCTGTAGGTATTTACTGTTCTTTCTCATCGAATCACTCTTTAAATCAGTAAATTTTCATTGCCCACTATAATTCTCACAAGAATCCAAAATACTTGTTTTTACTTCCATTTTAAAATGAAAATACTGAAGCCCAATAGGAATAAGTAACGTGTAGAGTCACACAGCTAATTAATAGAGGAGTCTTGATTTGGGCCCATGCTGTTGGTCACAGCCTGCAGTTTCCCCCATGCTATCCCTTTACAGGGGTGGGCATATGGAAGTTGTTTGGAAAGGTGAAGACAGGATGTCATAACAGAGAGAATCTTGGAGGTGGGCAACTATTGCAATAGGCCAGACACTGTAGTGGTAGCTTATGGTGTGAGGAGAAAGGGAGGGAGGGAAAAGGAGGGAGAAGGGGAATAGCAAGGATGGTGGAAGGAGATGGTCATCATTATACAAAATACATTTTGAAGATGTGAATTTGGTGTCAACATACCTTATATACAAACAGAGATATGACAAATTGTGGTATAAAGGTGTATTAAGAATTGTAATGCAAAAAAAGAAAAAACAAGAGAGCTCATGTATAATGGCATAATTTGGCGTGAAAATACTTTATATACATAGTTACAAAAAATTGTGCTGTGAATGTATAATTATGAATATAATGCATTCCACTATTGTCATGTATGTAATAAATAAATAAATAAATATGGCTTTCCACTATTAAAAAAAAAAGAATATGTGCATCTAAAGGACAGAGTCCTTCAGGCTTGTTATCTTAGGAGACTTTGGCCTTGTTCTGACAATGCTGCCATTACTCAAAAGTATTGAGAACTCTTCCTTCAGGATTGTCTTCAACCACATGGGAAAAGTTCTAACTTCAGCCACCATGTCATTACTCAGCCTGATGACCCACCTGATTTTCCAAGCTTGATTCCAACTCACTTGTTTTAGAAAATGAAAACTGTTAAGGGACAAAGCTTGGCCACTCTTGAGGGCGAGCTCAGGTTGTTCTCACACCCAGGGGGACAGTTTGGATCATGTGGACATAAGGAAGTCCTGGTTTTGAACCCTGACTCAACCAATTCCTTGGCCAAGTTATTTAACTCAGTATGCTTCAGGTCCTTGAGCTGTAGAATGTATATTATGATTCCTTTCCTGGAGTGTGGTAGTTTTAATTAGGATGCTTTCAGCAGCAAATGAGAAGTCAACTCAAATTGGCTTAAATAATGTAGAAATTTATTTGCTCACCTATGGATAAGTCCAGAGGTGAAGTGGGTCCCAGGAAGAATACAGCTGTGGCTGACTTCAGTTCTCTGAAGTTCTCTTGGCTCTGTCCTCTTCTGATGTCCAGCTTTGTCATCTGGCTGATCCCGTTTGCAGTTCTCAAGTCATTAACAACATCTAGGACAGTTTCCTTTCTTCTTTATTTCTAGTCTTTAAGAGAGAAAAATCTCTTTTAGAGATGAATATTTACACTTTCCTTTCATCTGTTGGGACCAACTTAGGACACATGCCCACCCATGGACCAGTGCTCAGTAGTGAAGGGCCATGTGTGAATTGGCTTAGCGCAGGATAGACTGGGTGTTAAAAGGGATTAAATTGTATAATTCATAGGCATTATTTGGTCCACAGCTAATACTCAATGAAAGTTCGTTATTTTTCCTAATAATGAGGAGAGTATTCTTTGGGTAAATTACACATGCATGCCTGACATCCATCATCTATCTATCTATCTACCTACCTACCTACCTATCTGATATATTTATATATGTATGGAATGTCTTCTCTTTAAGGTTTATCCTCATTCTCTTCTTTGATTCAGGGTCACACTCTTTCTTCTCACCAGAACAGACTACAGAACAGTGCACAAGCTGAGATGGTAGCCCCAGACTTGTTTAGTGCATGAGAGAAAAACAACAACAACAACAACAACTCTTGTTGTAAATGGAGACAGAAATTGGAACGTATGACCAGGTATGGAGTGCTGAGTGGGGGTTGGGAAAGAGGAGGAATCAGGAGAGGAGGCACCAAAATCGTATTGATTTTGCTTTTGCTTTATTCCTTCCAGCTCTGCTCCTGGTGCTATCTCTGTCTTCACATTAACGCATCAGGGCAGGGTGCTGGGATGATGTTGGTGGCTCTTACGTGCAATTTGAAGAAAGTTTTAAACAGCTCATCCATCCCAGGCATTTTTAGGACCCATTTCATCTTTATGTTATTTGGCAAGTAGCTGGGAAAGACCAGAACTGAGGCTTTACACCTATTTAGCACCTGGTTAAGCATCACTTGGCACCTGCCAAATGGGTCTCTACATTTTAGGGGGAATTTGCACTGATTACTGTACTAATTAAGCAGAAGTCATTGCTACTCGCAATCATTAGGCTAAATCGGTTTCTGGGGAAAAGTCTTGATAAGCAGCTGCCCAGTTGAAGTGGATTTGAAGGCGCCCTACGCACATAGCTCATGCGTTAGCAGTTGCTCTCATGCTATCGGGTCCTTAATGTGACTGAACTCAGGGATAACTGACAGTCTCAATGCTGGGTGACATGGGTTGGGGAGTCTTAAAAGGTGAGATGCTCAAACTTAATTGAGGTAAATGATACTAAGTACTGAGCATAAAGGGCATGCCCAGGAGTGAGTAGATATTTCACACATGCTTAGGCCCACAGTTATCTTCTTTGTCATTTTTGCCTGCCCTGGTTCCTTTTCCTACCCCAGTGACCTTCAACTTACCCTTTAGGTTACTGGGAACATTTTGTAGACAATGTTTTTGTGCCTGGGGTATGGTAGACTCTCTGAACTTTGATACTTAGGATTTATGGGAACTTTTGCTGGAAAATTTGGGGGAGGAACATTGTGTGGGAGAGGGGTGGGGAGAGTATACAGCAATTGCTTTGATTTCTAAAATGTTGGGAGTGCTTGTGAGCATCTGAGGACTTTTCCATGGGCAACAGATTGTCATAAGAGACCAAGAACCTCTCAAAGAGCATCAGATCCTCTGCCTGAAGACAAGCAGTTTTGAATCAGGCACAAACTGCCTCTGAAGACTTATTTTTCTATCTTTTTTAATAACACAGCCACTGAGTTTTATAGAATATTGTGTTGGAAGTTAGAGAAATGCCAAACTGGATGGGTAGCATGAAAAATACAATGTGGCATAGAACCTTATCTATATTTGTGTACAAAATTTACTACTTTGAGATAAACTTGAAACATTGTACTGGCTATTTCTGAGATGCTAATGTGCATCATGAGGTCAGTAAATTTTCCCAACATTGTCTGTTTTCACAAGCCTTTCCTGGAATCCTGAGGGAGGTAATTTCTTTTGGAGGAGGAGGTAGATAGCTCCATATTATTAAAAATTGTGATGATGTTTGGGGGCAATTGCATCTCACTTTCTGGAAGGTTGGAGAAAAGGAATTCAATTTGAAGCCAATGGAAAATTTCAAACATGGGTGCAATCCCATATAACAAATGCCACTGTAATGAACATCTCCACATCCCAGTGATTCCCAGTGGCCTATTTGTACCAGGCAGTATTCAATGAGGAAAAACTGCTCTAAATAAAAATGTGAATAATCCCTTGAAGTTTATTCTAATAGGAAACTATGGCTCCAAATCTTCAGGGGGCAGGGCTGAGAGTGATAAGAGATACTGCCTTGGAGAGTAGCCTCTGCCAGACAGTTTCCAAGGGGGTTATTTGAGAGTTTAGTGGCGAAGGAAAACCAGATAGAGGACCATGAGGACATGAGCCCTTTCAGAAACATTCAGATAGCTTGACATTTAATGAAGGTAGAGAAGCTCCAAACATCTAATTTTTCAAATTGAAGAGAAGGGTAATTTGGGAATGCTAGAGAATTCAGTACCATTTTGCTAGGGGCTCCCTTCCTATTAGTGTAATGCCTAGTGCCTGCTAGGGCTGCATTAAATAACTATTGTGCATATAAAGTGAGAATGAGCACAGAGTTGTCCTATAAATAGTACAGTGCTACACAAAAGTTAGATACCATAGCTAATTATGTTAATGATTTATCAGGTTCATTTCCAGGGAGGCGATGGGATGGGACATGGATGAGAGATGATGCTGAAAACAAGAAAAGGGCACGGAGATGGAAAGGAGGGAATATGGAGACTTCTCTTCTTGTTATAGACTCTTGATTTTGGAGATGGAAAACATTTTCAAATGTTTTTCCAATTTTGTGACTAGCCCTTTCTTTGGAGTCTGGTAGTCAGGTAGTGAACTTCTGTGTCCAATCCAAAGAGCCACACAGCCCTGCAGTCTTTTTTTATTCTCTGGTGTGAAAGACACACATAGATGGCCCAAGATCTCATTTTCTCTTGCTTCTGGCACCTTCACAGAGTTCTGGCTCAGTTCTGAGTCAGCTCAGTGGAGAAGCAAGCCACAGGGATTTGAAGGCCCCACCCCTAACAAGGCTGTTGTACACCAGGAAGCTCGAGTTATTCAGTAGTCACAAAGCTGTTCTGTGGCCCTATAAATGAGAGAGCATCAAGGTGCGCCCATCAATGGCAACCTTGCATGGAGCACATGGCCATCTGTGCTTGGCCTGCGCTGTGGGGTGCAGAGAGGTCTGTGGGTTACATGTGTTCCACTGCTTCTCTGCAGGTCAGTTTCCCTCCAAAAATCCATTTTACATCAGTACCACATGATCCCTTTGATCCTTGGAATTCAGGTTCTTTTTGAAATGAGGTTCAGGTTTTCTAGGCACCTGAAATGGCAGGGGTGCAATTCTCCTGCCATGAGAGATTAATAATAAAGAGAACTTTTCCTTTGGAATAGACAGACATGACTGGTTAGCAAGAAGGGTGGAAAGATAAAAGGGAAGAAAAGTAGATGCAACTTTCAAAAAAGCCCCATACCAATCTGTCCCTTGACAGGAATGCCATTGGCAGTATCTGATATTTCCTTCCCACTTCCAGAAGCTTCCTAGAGCTGCCAGGCTGCTCAGGGCAGGATTGTTTTCTGCTTATTGCCAGGGAAAATGAAGATGGGGTTGCTGAGGGAAAAAAAAAAAAAGATTCTCCCTAGCTCCTAAATGAGGACATAATGAAAGATGTCCCTGGAGAGGAAGGGCAGGCTGGTGCACTACAGGAAGACCCACGACAGCTATGGACACAGAGGCTGGAGAGACTGCCTATTTCTTTCAGAAAGTGCTCTTTGGAGTCTGGTAGTCAGGTAGAGAACTTCTGGGAGCCTGCCTGAGGCCTGTGGACAGATGGCCTCCCACCTCCTGCTGGGGAAGCTCCTTATTCTGGTTGGGTGATGCGGCTGTGCTGTCTCAGGAGGATTATCTAAAGTAAGTACAGAAGGAATTGATTTATTTTACTGCTGAAATGCTGCCTTCCTGCAGATGGAAGATGGCAGCTCTTGATCCAATATTATCGATTTGCTGCAGCTGGTCTGCTGAAGTCGTAGAAAAACTCCACACAATTGGCTACCCAAGGAAGTGGAGAGGTGGCTCAGCCAGACAGACTCAGTTGGGTTCGGTCAGGTGTGGGTTGAGCAAGTAGGTCTTCGGTAGCTCAAAAAAGAAGATTTTTCTCCCTGGGTTTGGTCCCTGTCTACACAGTACTGTGGTTCAGATTTTAGCCTGGGAGTCAGTCAGCCTTGGCTTCCAAATTTCCCTCCTCATTTACTAATTGTATATACTTGATTGCATATTTAACCTCTTTTTCATTCATTTTTGAATGAAAAAAAAATTTAAATGAACACCTGGAAAATCTCTGCACCTTTATATACCTGTGAAGTAGGTTTGACCCCATTTATGTCTTGGATATGTGAAAAGAGCCAAAGATACAGATGGGAGTGAGGTGGCCTGACTTTCTTCTCTGTCGTGGTGGCACATGTCTGCAATCCCAGTGGTTTGGGTCTGAGGTAGGAGGATAGCAAGTTCAAGGCCAGCCTCAGCACCTTAACAGAGCCCTAAGCAACTTAGCAAGACCCTGTCTCAAAACAAAAAAATAAAAACAGACTGGGGATGTGTCTCAGCATCCCTGGGTTCAATCCTAGTGCCAAATTGGGGGAGGGCAGAGTCTGGAAGCAGCTAAATGCTCTGCCTAGAACAGTAGGACAGCTGTCACCTGAGAAAGGCCCCAGAATAAATGACAGCAAGATCGGTAAGGAGAGCAGGTCCAGGCAGAGCTTTAGGGCACTCTTGTTTTGATCAATCAATGACCTGTCAGGGAACTGGGTCGGGTTTCCTCTGCCTTTGCCTCCAAATCAGCTTTGCCTCTTCAAATAGAAATAAAGGGCAGCTCTGGACACCTGAAGTTAGCCCTTTAGGCCTCTCCTTATCCATGTCTGCTTTCCCAGGGCAGTTTGCTGAGCTGTCTGTCTGTTAGCACTGTTCTCTTGCCAAGTCCCTTCCTAGGCAGCCTGGTGCCATGATTGCAATGTGCCAAGGTTCCAGGTACACTCCAAAATCATAGTTACAGTCATGTACCTCATTACAATCTTTGATCAACGATAAACTTCATATCTGATGAGAGTTCCATGAGATTATATCTCCTAGTGATGTGGTAGCTGTCTTAGTTTGTGTAACTACATTTTCTGATGTTGGCACAATAATGAAATCAGCTAATGATGCCTTTCTCAGAATGTATGCCCATCAGTAAATGATGCATAACTGTACTTCCAGTTAAAAATGACAGTTAAACCCATTCCTCTCTTCTTCTTCCTGAAACCTCATGAAAATGCCTGCCAAGGATTAAAAACCCCAAAGATAGAGGAAATGTGAGACACTATGAAGGAGGTCAACCCATTTTTGGAGGATGGAAAGCAAATGAAGGAGGAGCTACTGATTCAGAGGGGGAAGCTGTAACTTCAGTGTCCCCAGGGAAGGGCAAGGAAGAGAACCAAGATGATGGCCTGCAAGGTCCAGCAGGTGGGCTTGACACATGGGATCAGGCCAGGCCTTTGTTTGAAGTCTGTCTAGGTTCAATTAGAACCCCAGGTCTCTCCTGGACCCAGGCAGAGGTGATAACTGTCCTCCTCCCCTCTGTTTAGAAATTGGACCTGGAGAGGCTAGGTTCAGCACATGAGGACATCATACACCGGAAGTAGTGGGGGTAACACACAGACTGGCTATGCCGTTTCTGAGGGTGGGGGCTTTCACCTACCTTCTTTGTTCTGCTATCCCAGATGCTGACAGCCAGGACCTGAGCCCTAGAGTAAAGGTGGCTTCTACTCCAGGGAGACTGAATTGGAATTGGTTACAGATCCTGAAGTTTGAGGACCCCTTAAACCTTAGAAATTGATACGCCATGCTGAGGCATTCTGAATTTCTCATCTATTTAAAAATTTTCAGGAATTTAACTTTGAACTCAACTCAAACTGCACCGCTCCTGTGGTGGGTAGAGACTGAAATCTTGGTTCAATTTTTCAGCCTTAGCTTAGCTATTTAAGTGTCTGCCCTGCTTATGCATGGTTCAGGAGGCAGCCAGAGATCAGGTGGGAGTTTATTCATAGAATATAGGGCTTTCCCTTTCTGGCACTTTCCTTTCTGGATAAAGTATTTCACAGTTTTGCTCTTGCCCAGTACTCAAAATATTTGAGCCAGTAAGCCTGTAGGTGTCTGTTAGAATGTTTGCCCTCTGCTTGGAGCTGAATGGGACTTGTTTTCAGGCTAGAAAAAAAAAAAAGGAGAAATGACCCAGCACTTCCAAATGTCAATTTGTCTCTGACTTCCAGATACTCTTCAGTGCCTTCAGGAAGTTTTTTTGTTTGCTTGTTTGATTGATTTTAAAGTTCAGGATTATAGTAGTTTTCGGAATGGGACAGGGTGGGAGATTGGTCTGGTAAGAGTTGATTGTTGGGGCTGGGGTTTTGGCTGAGCGGTAGCTCACCTAGCACTTGGGAGGCGCTGGGTTCAATTTTCAGCACCACGTAAAAATGAATTAATAAAATAAAGTATTGTGGCCAACTACAAGTAAAAAAAAATTTAAAAAGAGTTTATTGTTGATTGGAGCTAATTTTTGGTAGCCATTACTTTTTTAAACTTATATTTTCTCATCCCCTTTCTCCATCTTTTAAATATGAAAGAACAGTTAAGGACCAGCAAAAGTTTGAGGAAATCATGTAATATGAGAGATAGGGAAATATAAACAAAACTTTAAAATGGGGGAAAATTTGGGAGACAGATGCTCAGACAAAACAGAGGTACTGTCCAAGAAGAATAAAGTACAAAAAAATAACTCTCCACAATAATATTTGCAGAAAGACAATAAATATTTTACCTGTATATCAAAAGCGGGCTGCTGTTTTAAAAATAAATTTGGAGGACCAGAAATGTCTTATAAATTAAAAAATAGCATTACACACATGCTAAATAGTGAAAGAAATTGACTAGAAAGTAAAGCAAAATGATAGACATGAACATTAAGAAAGAAAATATAAGAATCAACCTAAGAAGGCTAATATCTGACTAACTGAAGCTCTAGAAAGGGAGAATAGAGAACCAGGAGAAAAAGATCTTTTCAAGGAAATAACACAAGAATGTATTCCTGAGGTGAGTACCCTAAATATCTAGAGTCTAGATCAGAGTTGGTAAACTATGACCTATAGGCCTGTTTTGTAAATAAAGTTTTATTGAAACACAGCCATGCTAATTTGCTTCTATGTAGTTCATGGCTAGAGGATAGAGTTGGAAAGTTAAGAGAGAAACTGTATGGCCTACAAAACATAAAATATTTACTATCTGGTCCCTTATAGAAAAAGGTGCTCACTGCTGGTTCGAACGATGAGATCCCTCCATTGACCAACACCATGAATACAAGAAGACGCAGATATAAGGACATATTGTGAATTTTCAATACACCAGGAGTAAAGAGAAAAATATTGAGATTCCAGAGAGAAAAGAGAGTCACGTAGAAAGAATCAGAAATCAGAATGGGATTGAACTTCTCAAAAGCAATGGTGGAAGTCATAAGAAAGTGGAATGATACCTTCAGGATTCTGCAGGAAATAAAAAAAAATTAATCTGGAACTTAATCCAGTATAAAGATGAAATAAAGGTGTTTTCAGACGGCGACATCTCAAAGATTGTACTTCTAGTCTTCTTCAGAGGATATGCCTCAGCACAATGAGGGAGTAAACCAAGAAGGAGGAGGACATGGAAGCCTGTGCGTAGGACAGTGGTGGGAGATCCTGAGGATGCTGCCGGGCTCTAGGCCCAGAGAGCAATGGGTCCAGGCTGAAGGGCTGCGGGTGGGTGGTCATTTGGGAAAAATACATGGAACTGAAGCTTGTCTGTGTGCTGGACCAAGTAAAGGAGACCATTAAGGGTTTAGAAGCATTTGGGGCTGGTTATTTGGTAAACTAAACAGATCCACCAAAAGTGCAATTATTCCATGGGAAAGATTGCATGATAAAGTATAACTGCAGCACTGACTCACCAGTGGAGAATATTTACACAATCTGCCTGGTGGCTGAGTGGTCCCCCTCCTGCTTTGTGATCTGAGAAACATTTCATCCCACTAGTTCCTTCAGCCCTGGGGGAGGCAGGAACTGGAGTGACTGGCCTCTGTTTGGTCTTTCAGCAATTCTAACGCTTTCTACCTAAAACCCTATATGAAATTTCCTTCTATTGAATGATCTGGCATGGGTTTGTGGAGTCTGACGGTCTCTGAAATTGATAAAGCAAGAAATAGCACAGGTAGGCATTGAGTTAGAAATATGGAAGTAAACACCAAGGGTAAAAAACGACAACGGAAAGAGTGGAAAGTCTGCTATTGAGGAAAAGAACTTGGTGCTGGGAGATGAGAGAGATATGTTAGGGAAATGTTATTGTTGGTTATGTCTTTTATAACATTATTTGACTTAAGCTAGATACATATATTATTTTGAAAAACAAAAGCAAAAGCAAAAATTCACTGAGAACATTTGTCAACCTCAAAACCAGGGTAGTCATCAGGTCTCATATTCCCACAGATGAAGCTATGAGCAAGTTAGAGATTTAGGTGGGTGTGGGATCCTCTGAGCCAACTAGGTAGGTGTTAGTAGGAGACAAAAATTGCTCATCTGCTAAAGGTAGCTGGGCCATCTGGTCATCAGTACAGGTGTACCCCACCACAAGCCAACCTCAGCCCAAGGCAAAGGACTGGAGTGCCCCTCCTCAGAAGGAGTTATGATGCTGGTGAAGTGCGCGGACCATCCTCATTATAGCTACAGACAAAGGCACTGGGCAGGATTAAAGCAACATCACTTTAAAGTTGAGAGACTTCCACTAGAGGCAGTTCCCTTAGCTTTCCTTATGCAATCTAGATCTTATTTCACCATTCAGAGTTCTACTTTTTCCTGTGAGGACCAGAGATACCTTATTAAAAAGTATCATCATTCCATAGTGTAGATATTAATACTTCATCAGAAAAATAGCTAGTAAATATTTTTTCCCATTCTGTAGATAATGGGCAAACAAATTAAACAGACACTTCTCAAAAGAAGAAATACAAATGGCCAACAAATATATGAAAAAATGTTCAATATCATTTACAATTAGGAAAATGCAAATCAAAACTACACAGAGATTGTATCTCACACTGGTCAGAATGGCAGTCAGCAAGAACACAATAATAAATGCTGGAGAGGATGTGGAGGAAAAGGAACACTTTTACACTGTTGGTGGAATTGTAAATTAGTACAAACACTATGGAAATCAGTATGGAGGTTCCTCAAAAGACTAGGATAGAACAACCATATGACCCAGCTATATCACTGCTAAGTATTTATCCTAAAAAACTAAAGTCATAATACTACAGCGATACATGCATACCCATGTTTACAGGAGTACATTTCACAACAGTCAAACTTTAGAACCAGCCTGGATATCCATCAGCAGATGAATGGATAAACAAAATGTGGAGTTATAGTCCACAATTGTATATATATATATACATACATACACATACATACACACAATGGAGTTATAGTCAGTCACAAAGAAAAATGAAATTATGTCATTTTCAGGAAAATAGATGGAACTTGAGAACATTACTTTAAACAAAACAAGGCAAACTCAGAAGGTCAAGGGTTTTCTTTCATACGTGGAAGCTAGAGAGGTAAAGGAAAAGAAAGGTGGGGAGATCTCATGAAAATTGAAGGGAGATCAGGAAAGGAAAGGGACCAGTGGGGATAGATAAGAGGAGAGAAAGGGGAGTACTAGGGAATGATATTGGCCAAATTATATTGTTATATTGTGTGCATGTACAAATATGTAAACAAATTCTATCATTAGACACATATATAATGTACCAATAAAAATATGCAGATTAAAAATATAATTCTGAAAAAAAAGTATCATCTTTCCAAATGAATATTCATTTCTTCTTTCCTCTTCTTTTTTCCTCTCTAACTCAAGACCCTCAGCTCTTTCTTGTCTCCTGGTTTTGAAACAAGTTCCAGGAAGTTTCCTAATAAAGCCTACTCCAAGGTTCTGTAGCCAGCCTTTAATAAAACTCCAAGGAATTGTGGCATTTCAATGAACCCCACACCTTTATTTTCCATATAAGGGGTGCAGTGGGAAGATCAAGGCTGTAGTCTTTCTCTCTCTCTTACACACACACACACACACACACACACACACACTTGCTCCATGGATATTTCCTTTCAGTCCCTCTGCCCTACAGCATCTCTTTTCAACTCTGTCACAGATAGAATTATATCAGCACAGTGAGCAAAGACCTTGAGGCATAAGAGCTGATGGGATAATTTATGGAAATGCAATTTATCCTTGGCAGAGGGAAAAAAAAAAAAAAAAAAACCAGAAAAGGCCTGGCTGCTGTGGTTTGCTCTGGAAAGGGGAAAGGGCTGTGGATTCTACAGGATTTTGGAATACTCTACTTAGGTTCTTATGTTTTGAGTTTTGCTGGAGAAGTGACACGGGGTCTTATGAAGCTCTGAGAGGAAATGTCTCCTTTCAAAGCTTCCACTGGTTCTTGGTATAACTGCAGGGTCAGGGAGATGAAGAGACATGTTACTGGATTTTTGGTTTTAAAAGACAAGGCTTTGGGCCAGGTGAGGTGGCACATATCTGTAATCCCAGCAACTTGCGGGGGAGAGGCAGGAGCTTGGGGAGTTCAAAGCCCCTCAGCAAAAGAGAGGCCCTAAGCACCTCAGTGAGACCCTGTCTGTAAGTAAAATACTAAATAGGGCTGGGAATATGGCTCAGTGGTTGAGTGCCCCTGAGGTCAATCCCTGGTTACCCCACCTCCCCAAGAAAAAAGCAAGGCTTTGGTACACTTTGGAAGAGAAAGATCATAATAAAGGGTCCCACCTCCTCTGCTCCAACAGAATTTAGTCTCCCCCACCTAATTCTGCCACCCCTAATCTGTCAGAATGAGAACCAAGACCAGGGGTGGCCAGAACTCCAGGGAGAGGGGAGATGGGAGAACCAGTCCCAAGCACCTGAAAGGATACTGGAGCTTGGGTGGGAACTGTCCACAATGGGGTCTCTGTGGGAGGAATGGTCTGGAGACTCAATTTTCAAGGGGAATATGTTCCTGACCAGGGCTATAATCCTCTTCTGCTGTTGAGAAAAGGTCAGCTTCACACAGCAGCATTGGATTAGAGATGTTGGAGGGGGTAAGGGAGGCAGGGGCCAATATCCATTTTGGTAAACAAAGAGCAAGAGAAGAGAAGTGGCCAGTGTGGTGGCCACTTGTGTTGGATCTCCGAGTGAGCTGGTGATCTTCACTGTGAAAATGGAAGCACCTTCTCCCCCGAGTGCTCAGGAACATTAGGGAGAGAGATGGTCATGCTGCTGTTCATTCTTTCATTGCTCCAACATGTAATGACTTCCGTCTACTAGGCACTGTCTGGTCCCTGGAGACACTGAAGGAAACCAGAATATAACTCCCCAAAATATGAAGAATTGTGGAGCTGGAGACAATTAAGGTGCAGGGCAGCTCTTTGCCTTCTCTCTGTTTTTGCCTGAAAGCAAAGACAGATTTACAAAGACAAAGCTCTTCCTACTGCCCCCCAAGGAAGGACAGAAGGCACATTCTTTTGCAACCCTTATCAGCCCTGAGATGGCACCAGAGGAATCTGGGAGCAGCCTTCCCTCCTTCCCACCCCTTTCCTGCCTTTGGAAACCTGGGACTATTTTTACTTGGTCTTATCACCTCTAAAATGTATATTGTTCTGTTAGACACACTGTGCACCGCCTGCATTAATAAACTTGCTTATTTTTTGCTTGTTAATTTCTTTCGTTACAGAAGTCTATCCTGACTATGAATTTATGAGCATTGGTGGCAGGGGGATGCAATTTTTTTTTTCTTCTCTTCACACAGGAGTAAACTAGACAAAGTCCTTGCACTCACTTGTTTTTCTGAAATTGATTTATGTACCTTTTGTTTTACCAGCCCCTCTTTAAAAGGTATCCTTTCATCTAATTAATCCCATAGGCTAGACTCAGGCCACCAGCCCTCTAAGGTAAGGTCATAGGAACCAGAGATACTTCTGGTGGCTTCATCAGTGATGGCCATTTATTACTGGGTGCTACACGCCAGGCATCTTGTCAAGCCCCTTACGTATCTAATATACATGTGACAATGTAGGGAAAGAAAATATTTTCTTTAACCCCCAGAAGCTCTTAGTTGGAATAGACTCTGGTAACAAAACACAGATTAGTGAGAGATAAACAAGAAATTTTTAATATGTATATTTCATATACACATGGGAGGGACCCAGGAAACGAGTAGTTCTCAAAAAGTTGGCTTTGATTTCTAGCACATCTTTCAACAAAGAACAGTAAATTTTTAGAGAAGGGACATGATAAAAGAAAAAAGCTTTGAGTCTCTTGGGGAAGCAACTTGTGGGAAGGCAAATAAATAGCAGATAAAGGCTAATTAGTAAAGTATATTAATGCTGATTCTCTGGTACCCACTCCAGGCAGATAAGGGTCTAAAGTGGTCTGCAGTGGTTAACCTTTGTTCTTCCTGGTAGAAAGAGGGTCAGGATACTTGTGGACTTTGGAAACCAATGTCTTGTTTCTAGGCAAATAGAGGGAGGGCAGAGAGCTTCCCTGAGTCTTCTGCTTCTTATCTTTAGCTCAGCAGTTCCATGTATTTGAGTGGCATATTCTGGTCCCCACAATGACCTCTCTCTTTGTCTGACTCCAAAGCTCTTTGCTGGATCGTGTTACCATCACTCAGATATAAGCACCTTAAAAGTTTAACTGACTTTCTGATTCAAGTACTTCTGACCCAGTTGGTAGAGGGTATTTTAGAATTCACATCTTTTTTTAAAAAACAAAAAATCCTTCCCCCCATAGAAATTTTTTGGTTTTCTTTAGATCCAGTATGCCTAGGCTTAAATAACATCTTGTTAAAACATTTAATTTCAAATGTTAAGACACACCCTTTCAAACTCTAATCTCTTGTTTACCTATCTCTAGAAAGTACTTTCTGGGCTGGTACCAACATTAAACATGTTCATACACAAGAGAATACATCTTCAAACACAGACAATGAGATTCTAGTCCCCACAGAGTCTCCTGAAGGTCAGATGGGGGAGGTGGAATCTGACATGGCCTAAAAATCTCATGAAAAATGTCCCCATGCTTATTAGGATATAACTAAGGCCATCTCAAGGGACCATCCCAGAGAAATCCCTGGGAGAAAGAAAAATGCTAATTTCTTATTCCAATTACCAGTATGCTCTTTAATTCAAATGAAATGCCCTCAGTGTGCTACATGCTTTATGAGATGTATCAAAAGACATGCCCCCAACCCTCAAGGGACTTCTATCAAGAAAAGATTTGACACATGCTGGGGCTATAGAGGGTCAGACAAGTAATATGAAGGAAAAGGAGAAGGACGCTTGAATTTTTTTTTTTTTCCTATAGCAGAGTCCAAAGAGACTGAACCCTGATTAGCCTTTTTTCTGCTTTATGGAATGTCTTGCTGTGGCTGCAGAAATAGAGAGGATGGAATAGGAGTTTTGCTTCTTTTACTTTAGGGTGCACAAATTCACCCTGAAATCAAGCCTTCAATTTTCAGTGCCTTTGACATAAGTAAAAGCCACATTAGGCTCAAGTTTTTATTATAGCCAATTTCCCCTCCTACTAAAGTGTCTCAGAAATTTATAAGGAAACCGATCTTTTTGAGTAACTGACCTGGCTCATTCTCTGCTGCAGGGGATGAAGACTAGGAAGTCCGGAGGATACTGGTTTACCAGGGTCTGCTAGAATGAGTTGTTTCACCTGGTTTGTTTTTGTGACGGGGGCTTTAGCTATTGCCTAGGTACCCATAGAGGATTCAGCATATACTTCAAAATATGGCATCCTGACATTTTGATATTTAAAGCTGAAGGAATTTGAGAAATGGCACGTCCAGGAAGAATTCTGCAAACTTCCCCTGAAACAGATCATAAGACGCTCATGTGAAAGAAGGCTTCCCTCTGCCTGGAGGAAAGGATTCCTAAATCCAAAGATGGAGGGATGCCAAGAGGAATCTGGGTGGACTGGCCTTGCCAAGTGTCCCCCAGCTCATACTCCTTTGTCCAATCAATTTTTCTGTGACTTTACTCTTCATCAAACGGAGTACAAACATACTCAAGCTTTGCAACTTTTTTAGGTCTACATTTCCTTATGAAGAGTTTTGTGCTATGAAACATTTATGTTAAACACATCTGTTTTTATCTGTACTCCTCTGTTAATCTGTTTTTTTTTTTTTTTGTTACAGGTGCCCCAGATGAGAAGCTGGAAAAGTGGAAGGAAAAGATGTTTCTTTCTTCCCTATAGTTTCTGGTGACTGCAAAAAGATAATCAAAGGTTGGGACACCCCATTTACCACAGAAACTGCAGATGAGGTCTGGGACAACTGACCAAAAGCCAGCAGAATGCAAGAATTCTTAGTAAGTCAGCTTCTTGGATCTCTGTAGCACCAGGTTGAGAGAGGAAAGTCAAAGTTTCTCCCTGTGTATTCCTTTTCAAATTTAGGTTTGTAGGAGGTAACCATTTGTAAGAATTAGTTCCTTTGGATTGTGACTTTGGTAAACTTGGTTTTAGTTATCCATTGATTATTGAAGGAAAATATATATTTTTCCCCTTTGCATCAATTTACTTGAATACAGCCATGTTAAGTGTAAATGTGTCAGTTGATATTACATATTTTAGTAAGGCTACAAATAATTTAAAACTCCATTTAAAGGAGAAAATATTTTAAAAGGGGTAAAATTATGACTCTTATACAAATATAGAATGAACACATGCCAAAGATTTTATTTAACTCATTAATTAAAGAGGAAACTGGTAAGATATTACAGTCAATTCAAAGGAAAATCCAAGAAAAAAAATATATATGTAATTAGGAATACTAAAATGAATTTGCTTAGAAGAGCAAAACTGTGGAAGAGCAATTGCACCTCTGCCAGATGGAATTCATTTGCATGTTTATGGACAAGAGTCATTTGCTTTGCTGGAAGTTACATATAATTTACACAGTTGTAAAATAACTCAACAACACTGAAAGGTGCAAAGACAAAATAGAATCAGATAGCCTGGAAGAGTATATAGAAAATACCTAGTTTTCCACTAGAGACAATTGGTTGTTTTAAAGTCTTTCAAGTAATTTTCCATTTATGCTACAGTGGTTTAAACCAGTAAGTTAATTTTTCTCATGCGCCAGGAATGATATTGAGATAGAATGATATTGAGATTCATAATATATATATATATATATATATATATATATATATATATATATATATTTATATGCTAACAAGATGACTGATAGCTGGGATGGCTGGTGAAATTTCAGCAGGACCATTAATCTCTGACCTCCCACCTTTGGGAAGGGGAGTAAGGTTTAAAGTTGATTGCCAGTGTCCTATGATTAAAGCAATCATGCCTACATAAGGCCTCCATAAAACCCCAAAGGATTTAGAGAGCTTCTGGATTGCTGAATGCATACAGGTACCTGGAGGATGGTGTGCCCTCCACCCCACCCCTGTGTCTTGCTCTGTGCATTTCTCCATGAGGCTGTTCATCTGTATCCTTTGCAATATACTTCATAATAAATGGGTAATGATAAATAAATCTTCCTCTGAATATTTTGAGCAGCTCTAGCAAATCACTTGAGTCCAAGGTATATGTGTGGTAGCGGGCAAGGTAGGTAGGTCATGGGAACCTGCTGGGAGCCATTAGCCAAGTAGGTATGACAATTTCCTTGCCAGCGTACCCCATGTTGCAGTGACATTGAATGTAAGTGACCTTGCTCAAGGACCAAGGCAGATTAGGGTGTTCCCAGTTTTAAGATAGTCGTGTTTAGGGCGTTCCCAGTTTAGGTTCCAGGTTTAAGGTTTAAGATTATTCCTGCTGGGAATAGGGCGTATCCTGCTGCCTGAGTTCCCCTTGAGTTCTCACGGGATTCAGACAGTATATTTTGGAGATAGAAGCCCAGTGGAGGTGAATTTGGGAGAGAAGGTGGATTTGGGCAGAGAACGTGAATTTGGGCAGAGAACGTGGATTTCCCCAGAACGTGATTGTAGACGGCTGGTGTGAGTTCGGGAATAAAGAGTTGCTGTTTGAATCTACAAGCTGTGTGGTGGCTCGTGATTGTGTGCCCAGCCAGACTGCGGCATTTGTGCCCAGCCAGACTGTGGCATTTGGTGGCCCGTACGGGGATAGAAATAAGATAAAAAAATGTAGGAAGACAAAAGTTTTAAACCCACAAAATAGGAAGAAAAAAAAAACTAGGAGGAAAATAAGCAACTAAGGGTAAATATACAAACCTTAGGAAAAAAAAAAAAAAACTAGAAGATAGAAATAAGATAAAAAATGGTTGAAAATATCAAGTAAGGTATTACAGATAGAAAATGCAAAAAGCTAAGACAACTATTAGATACAGACATACTTATTAAAGCAAAAAGAGGAAATTGGAAGGGGGTATATATCCCCCAAAGATAAACTTAAAATAACGCTTTTTACACTAAACTTTTTAAATTTGGATTCATAAGGACTTAGTGCTGCGGAAAGACATATGTATCCAAAAAATGTACATAAGCCTAAGGTACTTTGGAAAGATATTCTAACAGGACAATGGAAAGGTCCTGACCCAGTGATTGTCTGGAGTCGGGGTTTTGTTTGTGTTTTTCCACAGGGAGAACAGCAGCCCATTTGGATTCCAGAGAGATTAACTAAAACAGTTTCTACAGATCGAAAAGAAGATGATTTGACTCAAATCCATAACAGCTGATATCCAGAGCTCCAGCTTGGCCATTCTTACATCTGCGACAGTGATTAACCAGGATGCTTTTTTCAATAGCTATTTTATTATTGCATTTTTCCACATCATAAGGTTCTATTTTTATTTTTTGAGCTCATACAAACCTAGGTTAATGTTTTTCTGATCAGTTTTATTTTTTGACTGTGGAGTTTTTAAACATTGCAATGGAGATTTCACCCAGGTAAAGCTACAAGGCCTTTACTATTTTCTTATGTGTTGTACGTTTGTGTACACTCTTGTGTTTTGTGTTGTATGTCTGTATGTGCGTATGTCCATATTTCTTATATGAGGAGCGCTCATGAAAAAATGGATCCGAATTATTATTATTTTTTATTCACGTGATTTAAATGGTTTAATTTAAATTATGTAAACAGCTGTTAAGGATTGTTTTTAAAGGTGGTTAACAGATCTGTTTGTTTACTAATTTAAATTAGGTAAAAAGCTGTTAAGCATTGTTTTTAAAGTAGGTTAACAGATCTGTTTGTTTACTTTCACCTTTCCTTTTCATTATATTTAATAATTCTTTTCAGGATAATGTCTTTTTAGCATCATTGCCAGAATTCCTATCTCCATCCCAGTGCCGGTGAAGAACTCAACAAGTAATGCTCAATCAAAGAGTCAACTTACTTTGGGAGGAAACGGATTTTGGGAGGAAATGGACATATTGATAGATTCCTCTGCTTTGAACTGCTTGCAGAACTTGCCTGGACTATGTAACTATCGTTTGGTGCAGCGAATTGTGGTAATGCTGGCATATCTTTGCTGAAGGTGTCACCAGTGATGCAATTTTTCCCAAGGAGCCGTCAATTGGCTTGGTGTCGTGGCATTTCTGTATCCTCCTCCCTTCTGCTAGTGATGGTCTAAAATTTGGGGGCCAATGGCTTATGCTGGACCGGTAGTCAGTGACGGGTATGATCCAATTGCAGTGGTATCAACCTAAGACAGGAGGCTGACGCCTAAAGGTCAGTTTTCCGATGACGGGTAAGAACCATATGTTGAATTGGACAACCTACCAGGCACGGTCCATAAGCCACATTAACCTCACTCCCCCACTGGCACCAAGGCCAAATTTGGGGGCCAACAGAGGTGAGGCAAAGAACCTCACCCCCCCACTGGTGCATAGACCTATCCACAAGTATGGCTGTATGCTGGACCGGTAGTCAGTGACGGGTATGATTCAATTGCAGTGGTATCAACCTAAGACAGGAGGCTGACGCCTAAAGGTCAGTTTTCCGATGACGGGTAAGAACCATATGTTGAATTGGACAACCTACCAGGCACGGTCCTTAAGCCACATTGCTTGTTGTTTAATTAATCAGAAGGGGGGAGATGCTGGGAGCCATTAGCCAAGTAGGTATGACAATTTCCTTGCCAGCGTACCCCATGTTGCAGTGACATTGAATGTAAGTGACCTTGCTCAAGGACCAAGGCAGATTAGGGTGTTCCCAGTTTTAAGATAGTCGTGTTTAGGGCGTTCCCAGTTTAGGTTCCAGGTTTAAGGTTTAAGATTATTCCTGCTGGGAATAGGGCGTATCCTGCTGCCTGAGTTCCCCTTGAGTTCTCACGGGATTCAGACAGTATATTTTGGAGATAGAAGCCCAGTGGAGGTGAATTTGGGAGAGAAGGTGGATTTGGGCAGAGAACGTGAATTTGGGCAGAGAACGTGGATTTCCCCAGAACGTGATTGTAGACGGCTGGTGTGAGTTCGGGAATAAAGAGTTGCTGTTTGAATCTACAAGCTGTGTGGTGGCTCGTGATTGTGTGCCCAGCCAGACTGCGGCATTTGTGCCCAGCCAGACTGTGGCAGGAACCCTGATTTATAACCAGTCCATCAGAAGTATAGATCACAGGTGGGATTTGTTGGCATCTGAAGTAGGTGGCAGTTTTGAGGGACTGGTGTCGTCTCCAGTGTCAGAATTGAATTTAATTGTAGGCTGTACAGCTGATGTCCACTGGAGAATTTGGTGTCAGAAGTGCTGTGTTGAGTGAATGTATAAGAAAGTCGAGTAGGAAAAGCCTTTTTTCTCTGTATTTCTGAAGTAGTCCAAGGCTGGTGCCAAGATAGTACACCCAGTGGCATCAGGTCAGTCTCTTTCTATGCTGCTTTTCATCTTTAGTTTCATTCCCTGGGCTGTGTGATAGCTGCTCTGCCTCCAGGCAGCTCTTTCTAATTCCAGGCAGGAAGAATGGGAAAGTACCCTAATTCTTCTTCTGAGAGTTTCTCTTTTTATTTAGGAAGGGAAAACCTCCTAGAGAATCATATGGCCACCCCTAGCTGAGACAGAATAGGAAGGTGAATATTCTGGCTGTTTGTCCTCTATAGTAAAAGAAAACAGGAAAAGGGGGAATCCAGTCGTTTTTAGGAAGTCAGTTTATATTTACCAGAGTATACCAAATCACTCATTTTAAGATGGGGGTTCTAAAAACAATTTCTTTACTTTGAACTATAGATAAGCTTTTATTTATTATTTTTTAAAATATATTATTTTATTCTTTGCCTTTGCCCCCTATGAATAGGCCAGGGGTATGCATAGTTAGCTCCTCTTTGAGAACTAGTTTCAGTAGTGTTAGCCTACTAACCCAAGACAAATTTAAATTGAGTATATGCAACTAATTACATGTGTAATG